CTCCTGACCCTCGGGACCCAGGTCATGTCCGCAGTCGTCCACACGCCTCCCACCCGCACTCACTGCACGTCCCAGGCCCCAGGTCCCCCCTGCCGCGGAGGACAACGAGAGGGCGAGGAGAAGAAGCAGCAGCAGCCCCCAGAACCCTTCCTTCTCGTTATTCGCACAACCCCTTCCCCCCTCTTCCACAAGGCTACGATCCTCCCAGCAGTCGCGCCGAGAAATTCCGTTCAGAGCAGCGTCCGAGGAGGAAAGGAGCAGAAAGAGGAGAGGAGACCGACTGGGGCGCGCGCTCCGAAGACGACTCGGCACTTCGGATTAAATCTACCTTGAAATTCGTCATTTACATTCCCCGGAGCCAACAACTGCACTGTCGATCAGCTCGGGCGGGCGGTAGGAGGCGGGGCGGCGGAGGGAGAGTCTCCGTCGGAATGGTAAAAACAGATGAAGGCTGCTGGCGCCGCTACAGGGCCTGGGGTCCCATGGCCATCTTGGCGGGGGAGTCGCGGCGCTCCACGCACGAGCCCGCCGCAGCGCCACGCAGTCTGCTGCAGGACCCCGCCCCCGCCTCGCCCCGCCACTCCCCGCCACGCCGCACCAGCCGGTTGGTTAGACCGAGTGCACGACAACTCCAGAGGGGCTCCAAATGGCTTTACGTCGGTTGTAAAAACGGGGAGAGGGGCGAGGCGGGAGGGGTAGAGAGAGGAGGGAGGGAGGGAGAGAATCTTGAGAGTCATTTCACTGCAATCACAGCGGTACAGGCTGCTGCGTCACCCCGGTGTCACCCAGGGGAGGCACTACTTGTCGAGGCATGCGGCATGTGCTCCACGACGACGACGGCGGCGGCGTGCTGCCGCAGAGCACGCGCCTGCCAGGAGGAGGGCGGCGGCGGCGGCACAGCAGCGCCCGCCCCACCTGCTGCGGACGTCGGTCCTGGTCCTCCTGCTCGCGGACGTGACCGCCGACGGCGAGCCCCAAAAGTTATGCAGGGGTAATTGACGACGCCCCCCGTCTGGCCCCGCCGGCTTTTTCGGTTAGGTGCGCGTCGATCCCCTCGGTGGTGCAAAGCCTCCGGGTCGGGCGTAAAGCAGGATCAGGGCGGGGCGTGGGCGGGTCGGGCGGCGCGGCACTTGCCTTGCATCCTGAGTGGCGATCCCTGTCCGCAGCCTGCAAGCCGAGCCGGGAGGACCGCGCGGGGGTGGGGCCCGGCGGGGCCGAAGGGCAGCTCTGGGCCGTGGCTGCAGCGACGGCCAGGGTGCAGCAGCAGCAGCAGCTGGGGCTGTCAGCGCGCCCTGGCCGGGGCCTCGCCCTCCTAGCTCGTCGCGCCGCGGGGGTCGC